TAGGCAAAATGCCGCTCAATTTTAATTAATCGCGAAGTGCGGGAATCGATAGTTCAGTGCCGTAGGTCGTCGCGACGCGTGGATCCGTCGACGTCGGTGCCTATAGGATCGTGCTGACCTGTCCGCCATTCCGCGAATTTAAATTGAGTGTTCGGTTTACGAAAGAGATTCGCGATTTAGGATTCGCGCTGACCTTCGTTTACCAGTTATTGAGTGTAAAGTTTACGAAAGAAATTTGCGACTTAGTATTCGCGCTGACCTTTCGTCGACTTTATTAAGTGTTCGTTTTGTGAAAGAAATTCGCTACTTGGTATTCGCGCTGACCTTTCGTCACGTTTATTAAGTTCGTCTTACAAAAGAAAATTGCCAGTTAGTATTCGCGCTGACCTTTCGTCACGTTTAGTAAGTTCGTCTTACAAAAGAAAATTGCAAGTTAGTATTCGTGCTGACCTTCCGTTAGTTACTTAGTACCAACGTAGGTTCCGTTGAAGTAAATTGTTTTGACTAATTAGTGGTGCTGACCTTTCCGCCATTCTCGCAAACCGAATTTGAGCGTTAGGTCTTATAAAGGAAAATTGCGATTTGTTACTCGCGCTGACCTTTCCGCCATTTTAGGAACCATTTAAATTGTATCTTAGGGATTAATGAAAATTCAGAATTTTACCGACCACGTTTATTCCAACCTCGTATGTGAGAAACTATCAATACATCAATTAACAATTAATTGTCTGTATATACATATATATCTTATTTGATAACCTGCCCCTGTTGCATGTTAGTGATTTTCAGCCGCGGTCGGTTACATACGGGTTTATTAATTCGCTATATTTTCGGATTGTTCGTTAGGTAAAATACGCGCGATTTCGAACGTCCTCACGACCTGACTTAAGGAGTCATCACCTGAGCTGCCGGCATACACTAATCAAGGAGGAAATTAGCATCGAAAGTTGGACACCAAAGGCCTGGACTTCGGATACAACGCGTATCCCCCCATCTGCTTACTCTGCGCAGTCGCCGTTAGGCAGACCGGGATACGCGTAACCCTACTGACCTTACCCCCGACGATCGCCGAAATCAGCCGACGGTCTGGCGCCCTAAATAATCGGGGGTAGAACCAAACAGGCCTTGTGGCGGAAGAACTCGGAGCGCGGTCAAACCCCCCGAAATTCCCTGCCACATCTGTTGTTCTTCGGCTAGAAGAGCCGCTTCTCATTCTTTAAGTTTACTTTGTTTTTTTGACAATCGAAATTACAGTTCCTCCAATTGTTTATTTAAGTTATCCTTTTCAGCAATTTTCGCTAGAGCATGAGAAAAGAGGACTGTATCTCTCTCACTTTCGCGATGTGCTTTGGTCAAAAGCTTATCTATTTATATCACTACCTTTGATCCTTTCAAGTAAGCTTCTGTTTATTTCTTCGCTATCTTGTTCTGAGGGTGACGATCTTCCACTATCATTTTCTGACATTGTTGTTTTCCTAAAACTGTTTCTTTGGGAATAAAAGTCACTCTGTTGAAAATTATATTTGGTTGCTTGTAATCAGTGAAAAAAATTTCGTAAATTTGAGAGCTAAAAGATAAAAAGAAAGTAATAAAGTATAATAGAAGAGAAATAAAGCCAATAACACAAAAGACAGATTTTTAATTTCTTCCTAGCAAGAGCTAAAATTTCATCGGGTGTGTAAAATGTTATGCTCTAATAAGCATCACTTTCGATTATTTCCGTAAGATATTTAAGATTTAATTAGATCCGTAAGATAATTAATTATTAATTAATTATTTAATTCTGTACGACTGTAATTACGCAGCATCGAATACCTGTTCTTTGTAAGAAAGGTATCCCACCGCGGTCACCAAATGTTACAACCGGAATTTACAAATATTTATTTTTTCTTTTGAATCTCGAAAAAGAAAAACTTGTCGTGGCAGGTTACCTTCACCACCTTTGGCCTATAGTTTCTCCTACGATATATAGAACTGCAATCCGGCATTGACGAGAGTAGTGGAATGTGCGTAAAACACCGCTCACAGTCAGTTACACTTTAAAAGTCGAGAGGGATTAGCGTAATGTATCGGTTGGAGTTGAAACTTCACTGATTTTAATGGTTTTGTTTCCTTTATCCGTATTACACTATTAGTGACTTAGACGTTTCGCGTAGATAGTTACAGTTTCGCTCGCGGTCGTGGAGTGCCTCCTAGTCCTGTCCACAATCGAAAAAAAAGCCGGCAATAGCCCGCTCACTGGCATGATCACTAATGTCACCGGCAAATGGGCTAATTGCTCATTCGGCTTCGCGAGTCGTTCCTTATCCTTTTCAGCAATTTTCGCTAGAGCATGAGAAAAGAGGACTCATTTTCGCGATGTGCTTTGGTCAAAAGCTTATATTAGGCGGAAAGCTATATGTCTCTCACTCTCCGCGGGAAACGGCATAGACTTACATACACATTTCGTTTGGAGATCGATTCGTACCGAAACTGCCGAGAGCGAGGAACCACGCAGTTAGCCGTTTGCGTGAGAAAGACTGAAAGTCGCACGCAAACTGTTGTTTCGGCAACATTTCAGTGTCTGATGTCTGGCTTGTTTGGGATGTAATAAGAAGTTCTATTGAAAAATTAAGTTTCTAAATTATTGAATGAAAATGGGGCCAACTTTAAGATGAAGCTTTTTCAAAGGGATGAGAAAGGGAAAACCCAGCTAATAATAGGCCCTGCACGGCTCCGGAGGAGGCATTCTGACGTCCGTTCTCCAGCTTAGGAGTAAGTCTTGAACCAGGGATATGTACGTAGACCAAAAAGAGCGCAAATGTGAAGACGTCACAGAATTAAAAATGTCTACTCATCGCCTAGGCACTCCATAATAATTTTTTTTCAACTCCACTTTTTTTACCTACGATCAATTGTATATGTCGCAGATATGTTAGTAGCTACCTCAAATGTTTTGTAATAAACAGTCAAAACAGTGGATTGTGAAAGGTCAACCAGCTCCAAAGAAGACGAAGACAGTCAAATCGGCTGGCAAGGTTATGGCCACTGTTTTCTGGGATGCACATGGAATGATCTTCGTCGACTATTTAGAAAAAGGACAAACAATCATCAGAGAGTATTATGCGTCGTTGTTACCTTCACCTCAGTTAAATACTTTCCTTTTTCTTAATTTTTGAGCCTATTTAAGTTGTGCTTTGATATCCGATAAGAAATAGAAGAAAAGCACCTTAAGTGTTTGAATATCACAGTAAATAATTTTATCATTAGCAATTCATAATTTAATTAATTATTTCTATAGAGAATAACAACAATAGAGGCAAAAAGTCAGTCTCTTCCATTATAGTATATACCATCGTTACCACAAACTTTTTTACTTAAATAAAAATTACACGTAAATAAAATATAAATATAACATGAAAGTGAAATAAACTGTTGATTTTCTGATACGTATAGTGAAAAACTGGCATAAGAGCACACGTATTCGCTATTAAGAGCTGAAGGTTACAATCGAAATTTAAAATCAATGATAAATTTTATAAGTACAACTAATTGTTTATAATATTAATAATATAATATAATTTTTATATGAATCATACAAAGGAAGTAATGAATTAAATACATTTATATAAATCTAACCTAAATGCACATATGTTATTTCTAAAATTTCGCGATAAATAACGTCAAATCGTATAGACCAATCAAATGTCTAAATCCCGATCTTCTAAACTAACTAATCTAAACGTTTATAAGTTTCACTTCTCAAGAGTCTCTTTTTTAATGAAAAAAATAAACGAAACAAAAAAAAGGAAGAAAGAAAGGAATACTCACTTGACTATTTAATACTATTCCGTAAACGTATTAAAATTATCTACAATTAGCAATAATACTGAATACATTTTCGGTTTTCCTCACGGATATATCGGCTCTTTTACTCGCAAAATTAATTTACGTAGCTACTCAACATTGCAAATTGTTTAAAAAGTAATTTTCAATTTTTATTCAATACCTTTATCAGAATTTGTATAAATATTGATAAATATGTATACAAATATTTGTATACAGTTGTTATTTATCACCGAACGAAATTCTCCAAGTCCATTAAATTATATGCATATTCAAATACTAAGACGTATTTTAACAAAAAAATTAAACTTAATTAAAAATCGTGTAAACAATAATTAATCTTCAAATTACAAATTATATAACAAAAATTGTAATCATTCTGATATCCGTCAGTAGCAAAGTGGTAAAGTAGAGGTCTAATAATACGAAGTTTCCAATTTGATCCTCTATAAAGTGAAATTATTTTCTTCTCTTTTTTAATAATAACATATTATTTTCTGTATCAATTAATGGTCAATACAAAAACGATTATTTTGTAATGAATAAATTTTGTCGTTTTTCCAAATAACGTCATTTCATCAAAAGTCGTTATTTTTAGTCGAAAAAAAGTAATTCATGTTAGGTAAAACAAAAATTTTAAGCAAAATACCGTAATTTTTAGAATATGACGTTATTATTTTTTTCATATGCTCACTTCATATCCGTAGAAACTTATCTAAACTTCGTGTAAATATAACTAATAATTATTTTTAAATTGTATTGATTTGGGTCAATATTTCAGTATAGGATTTGATTTTAATGACTAAAATAATATATCGCCAGTAAAATTTATCATTATATACGGACATTTCCTTTACTATTTGTGATATGAACTGTTTCTGTTTCACACCCTAGAAAGTACATTGTTATGTATTTTACACGCGCGCGCGCATGTTTGTGTGTGTGTGTGTTCAATGTACAAGCATATATCAAGTGATAGTTCATTTTTAGATCACTGTTATAAATCGGACTTTTAAACGATGATAATAAAGGTGTTCTTTCAAGTTATTTTTATATCGATTACCATTATTTACCTATTCTAAAGCTATGTCAATAGAACAAATATAGCTTTGTATCTTACTCGAAATTAAGTTCTATTAAATACACTAGGAATAAGTAGTCTTGCTTATGCAAGTATTCTTTCAACATCAACTTTTGTTTTCACTATAAATCAATCTTAATTTCTAAAAACAAAGAAAGTCGGAAATATAAATTTCACCAAATTCTTTATCTTGGTTGAACCACAATGGTAAATATTGAATTCATGTTTCCCTTTTATGTCTACTACATGAAAATATTAGCTATTCAAACATTTACGTAGTGCTATGATTAGATCAGACAATAACTATTAAAAATCTATAATCTTGTTAGTATTATACACAAACAGTAAATTCAGTTTGATTAATTGCTATAATATTTTGGTTTGAAATTGATTTATTTACTAGAAGATTAATAATGGTCTTTGCTAAATATCGTGATGATTTTGAAAATTCTATCCGAAACTTACAGTTTTTAAGTGATAGGTGATAATTGGTTGTGATTACCAAAAGTATCATTTCAAACAATTTTATGTTGAATCATTTTTAGATTTTGAAGTGTGTTTAAATATTTTTGATTAATTTAAAGAAGAAATCTATTAATTAATACTCTGGTGGTACTAAACAATCAACTGTCTTGCGTTAATTTTGAAATACAATTGATATGTTACGAGAAAAGAAAAGCAGCACATAGTTAGTACGGAAGAATGTAGAAAAGTTATCTTAATACAATGATATCATTTTTTGTGGAATAAAAATACAAATTTAATAAATATAGACAAAATTATATATACGTTATATAAAGCATATCACGATGTATATGTTGAATTACCATTTATATAATATACACTTGAGGATTATAGTAATTGTAATAAGACCAAATTTCAAAAGGAGTAGAAATTATAATTTAATTCCGCATTGATATTTTTCCACTAAATTGTAAATTAAAAAAATTGTTTTGTTTAATTTATTTAACAAATAAATTCTAAAACCAAACTATTATAAAATAAATAACTATATGTGTTATAATTCATTAATACATGTTTATGTAGATGATGTTACATAAAATTGTTCTACCGATTTAAAAAGGTCAAATATGAATTTAATTTGGTAATAAAAGCATGCCTAAAACTCTCACCAAAATTCAATATTGCGTTATAAAAAGATTCTTTTAACGTATTTGATCTTAATGTTTGAATGTTTATATTCAATGTCTTCTTATAAATCAATGTCTAAATTATATAATATTCAATTTTACTTAATTATATTCAATATTACTTTTTTAAGTTGCCATGCATTGCCACAAATGAAAATAGGTTATGTACAGCTACTGCTATGATATTATTTCTTTCAACATATTAGACGTATATTATAAGTATGAATATATGAACGAAATACTAATCACGAGTTATATAAATGTAACATACAATTGAAAAGCCTATAGAATGGTGAAAATATCAACATTTTTATGAAATTTTTGGTTAATTATATTCACGATTACAAAAGTTAATGTTACAAATTTTTTATTGATATAAATAGACAATTATATGTAATAATTTTTATTATTGAATTATAACATTTTCATACGAAAGCGAAAAATTCACACGATTCTTTGAATTTAAACAAATCATGGGATATACATATTAGAAGGCATGTTTTATGATGATTCATCTCTATTGATATCTATTACATACACGTATAAGGGTGACACCTGCGAACTATTCGCACCTATCCATAATGCCGCATTGCTGATTGCATGTATAATATCTCGCGTTACTTGCCTTGTCGAAGGAGCCACCTTCGCGCTAGATGCTTCCTCAGCATTGATTCGTAACTACGTATCAAAAACTTTGTAGCGACCTTCTGACCACACTGTGAAATGATTCACTTCCCTTTATGAAGCTGGCTCACGTGCAAACACAGAGACTCGCGAAAGCATATAAATCCTGAGCATGCTGCGCACTTAAGACTTATCGTCAGATCGTGTATCTATGATCGTACGTATATCCCTCGTTTCATAAATCTGAAGCCACTGTTTGAAGAAACAAACAGATAAACCAATGTTACATGTATCCTAATTCTAGACGACTATTAACAATTCGCTTAGGCATGTTTCTTTTTTTTCAATCTCGCATTTGCGATAAACCAACTTGAGGCAACGAAATAAACTGAGAATAAAAGAACGTCAACTTCTAACAAATAATATAGGCAAAGAAATTCAAAATATTATACAAATATCATAGTTTTATATAATTACAATAAGGAATATTTTTATTGTATTTGCTAAAGCTTTCATTTTTTAATCTTAATTTTTTATGTCACTGCTTATATATCTTCGAATTAAGTAACTAGTATCAATGTTACACTACCGTCCATAAAGATTTGCCATCCTCTTGCTGAAATCATCAAAACTTTAGAGTTTTATGGCTCAGTTTCTATAAGAGCTAGAAAATCCAGCGGGATCTCATTTGAAAGGTCTTGCCAAGACCTTTCAAATGTTGTAAAACATCATTGATTTTATTTGTTTTTTGTCCAACTTGTGACGTCATAAACAAATTGTTTTTTTTAAATTTTTTCACATCAACTTCGACCCCGATTTATTTATATAACGGATTCTACGATGGAAAAATTGTATAAGCTATTCGATAGAGCTTTCAAAAAGCTACACAATTCATATCCGGAAAATTTTTTTACCTTTATTTTTTATGAGCTATATGGTGTTTTATACAAAAACAAAGATTTTCAAAAAATGGGCTGTATTTTTTTTATTTTCAACTCTAAAGAAAAAACGTGAAGAAAAAATGTAGTATTTTGCAAGAGCTATCAAATGCGCCACTCAGAATTTAAAAAAAAAAATTTTTTTTTTCACGTTTTTTAGAATTGAAATTTTTCTAGAAAAAAAACTGAAATTACATATATTTAATAAAATTAGTAAGTAACTAGTATTTATAACTGAATGGGCTTACAAACAATGATAACACGATACATTTATTGTATTCGACGTTTGTAACAGAGGAATTTGCATTGTTTTCATTTTTAATGACTTTCTACAGTATTGTGCTCACCGATAATGACTGTGATAATCACTGAGTGTTTACGTGGTTTGATTTACTTGACTTTCATGAATGTATACATATAGTAGAGAATACGTATGGAAATTCAGTCTCTTATCAGCTTTAATGAGTGAAATATCAATGTGTCCAATCTAGTCAGTAAATTATGCATGTATTTTTTGTTCATTAAAAATGACGACAAAAAGAAACTTAAGCATTGAAGAGCGATCTGAGATAGTAGCCTTACATAAAGTGAATAAAAGTAATAATGAAATTTCCAAAATTTTGAATATTCCAAGAAGAACAGTTGATTATAACATTAAAAAATTCATAACTCAAGGAAATATCAAAAACAAAAAAATTTCAGGAAGGCCTAGGAAAACTACGAGCGCTACTGATAAACACATTTGTAGTAAAAGTACACATAATCCAAGACTCACGGCACCCTAACTTGCTGTTGAAACTCAAAAAGCGTATGATGTTAAACTTAGTGTTACTGCGATAAAGAGACGACTTCATGAAGATGGACTATACGGTCGAATAGCAATTAAAAAAACTTTACTAAAACCGATTAATAAAAAGAAACGAATGGCTTGGGCCAGAAAACATAAAATTTGGACCATTGATGATTGGAAAAAAGTTTTGTGGTCTGATGACAGCAAATTCGAGGTTTTTGGTAGTAAACGCAGATTTTTGTGCGGAGAAAAAATAAGCAAAAACATTTAGAGAAAAATATGTGTGCTTCGGTTAAACATGGTGGCGACTCAGTAATGGTATGGGGTTGTTTTGGTGGTTCTAAGGTTGGTGACCTTCTTAAAATTGATGGCAAGTTGAAAAAAGAAGGTTACAAAAGAATTCTTGAAAAAAATGTTATATCTTCCGGAACAAGAATAATTGGTCGCAAATTTACGTTCCAACAAGATAACGACCCAAAGCATACTTCAAAGTTATGTATAAGTTATCTTGCTCAATTGGAGAAGAAAAAAAAATTCGTTGTGATGGAATGGCCACCGTACTCTCCTGATCTTAACCCTATCGAACTGTTTTGGGATGATCTAGATAGAGCTGTAAGGAAGGTAGGACCTACTTCCCAGAAGGATCTTTGGAATATCTTAGAAAATGAGTGGAAAAAAATAAGTGCAGAAACTTTAGAGAAACTTGTAGCACGAATACCTCGAATTTGTAAAGTAGTTATAGCAAACAAAGGTGGACATTTCGATGAAAAAAACGTTTAAATAATTAGTATTGTTTCGTTTTTGTTTACAACTGAAATTTATATTCAGATTGTGATAATATATTAATTACAAGAGTTATTAGTATTATAAAAAAGGAAATTATTATTGTTATGTTATTATTGAAACGTTGTAATAAATAAATTTTCTAGAAAAATTGTAACCAAATTATGTTAATCTATTCTGAGTAAGTAATAAATTATGGTTCAATAAATGTATCTTGTTATCATTGTTTGTAAGCCCATTCAGTTATAAATACTAGTTACTTACTAATTTTATTAAATATATGTAATTTCAGTTTTTTTTCTAGAAAAATTTCAATTCTAAAAAACGTGAAAAAAAAAATTTTTTTTTTTTAAATTCTGAGTGGCGCATTTGATAGCTCTTGCAAAATACTACATTTTTTCTTCTGAGAGTTTTTTCTTTAGAGTTGAAAATAAAAAAAATAAAGCCCATTTTTTGAAAATCTTTGTTTTTGTATAAAACACCATATAGCTCATAAAAAATAAAGGTAAAAAAATATTCCGGATATGAATTTTGTAGCTTTTTGAAAGCTTTATCGAATAACTTATACAGTTTTTCCATCGTAAAATCCGTTATATAAATAAATCGGTGTCGAAGTTGATGTGAAAAAATTAAAAAAAAACAATTTGTTTATGACGTCACAAGTTGTACAAAAAACAAATAAAATCAATTATGTTTTACAACATTTGAAAAGTCTTGGCAAGACCTTTCAAATAAGACCCCGCAGGATTTTCTAGCTCTTATAGAAACTGAGCTATAAAACTCTAAAGTTTTGATGATTTCAGCAAGAGGATGGCAAATCTTTATGGACGGTAGTGTATGTTATCAGTATTATGCGTGGTAGTAGCACGATACCTCTTTCACCGAGAAGAATATTATTCAAGATGCGGTAGTATAGTAATA